AGTTTATTTATTGTGCCTCTCTGGCCAGTTTTCTGGCATCACATTGCCAGCTTGATCCTGAAACCCTTCTCCATGTGAGTAGTCCCTCTGAACTCAGTGTTACTAAGGTTTGCAGGATTAGGTAAGATCTGGCAAGGACTTCTTTGCGGTTGTGTGGGAGGGTGTTTGAGGAGTTTAATTATAATTAAGCTGTAATTTTACTGATAGAAACAACAAAGGTTCATAGTTCTGGGGTAACAGGGAGTGGGTACTGTTGCCTTGTGTTCAATAAGTGAGCAATGCACTTGTAATATCTATTATGCAACTTTTCTTAGGAATTCCTCAGAAATGTAGCTGGAGAGAATTAGTACAGCTAGGAACTCACAGGTTGGAATCACTGAGGGCAAAACAATTATTCTTCAGTCTTAAATGAGAAATTACAATGATATAAAAGCACTTTCTTGAGACTGTATCTCTAAATGGCTTACCATCAATGCAATTGATATACCTCTTTTATATTCATCCTGTCATTACCGTATAATTTTTCATGTCTGTTTGATTTACTCTCTATCCTTTGGACAGAGACTGGAATTGAGGGGTTCCCTATGCACGGCCAGATTCTGATACCTTTCCTAAAGCCAAAATGCACCTTACTCCATGAGTTAATCCCTCTGAAAAAAAATGAACTGCTATCCAAATAAGACTGCTATCCAGACCTGGCCCTTTACTCATGAGAGCCCAGGAGAGAAGGGTAGTGAATGTGAAGACTGATGGAGGAATTCCTAATTTTCTCTATTTTCTGCTCATCGAGCTTTTATTTCAAAAGACCTCTGTATTTTTAGAAAATTTACTTAAAAATTCAACCACCAGCACGTGGTACATTGGCATGAAGTGAAAGTTTGCAGCTGCAGATGATCCCGGAAACTTTGCAATATTCAGTGAAGTGCATTATCATAGTTTTGCAATTAGATTAGCATTTATAAAAAAAACTAATCACACTAAGAAATGTTTTCTTTACAATATGGTTTAGTCCAACAAGAACTTAAGTTAACATTGCAGACAGCCATGTCACAAATACATTTGCCATACAGGAGCCTTGTCATACATAATCCTAGTTTCTTTCTCTCATTTTAGAAGAGTAAGGCATGAAGAGCTGAATAAGTAATGCACACTGTGGGCAGTTCTACATGAGAAGCACTACATCGGCGCAGCTGTAGTGTTTCTGGTGAAGACTGTCTGTGCTGACAGGAGAGCATAGTGAGAGGTGGAAGTGATGTTGGCAGCAGAGCATTTCTGCCAAAGTAGTGCTGGTATGGACAGCACTTAGCCCGCTATAATTTGCGTTGCACGGGGAAGTGTATTTTTTCATAACACTGAGGAACACAAGTCAGAGAAGGACTTACACGACAGTATAGATCTGCCCTGGGCCCGGGAAGAAGATTAGGAAGAACCACCTCCCTCCACAGCCGACTGTTTTCATGCTCCATTTGTGGAGTTATGCAGGCTTGACACCACTTCTAGGTGTCTGTGACCGGGCCCTTACGGGCACGTTTATTGCTTGTATCAATAAGAATGTTCATCAGTCCCTCGGCCTCGTCACTTCTCCCTTTTTAGTCTTATTTTTGAAGTTCTTGCATCTGTGTCGCCCCAAGTTAACTCAGTCTATTGGCGCTTACCACAGTTCGAGAATGTTAGCTCGTGATTCCCAGTCGCCAGTATACTCCCACTTCTGGTGGTAGGAAGAGGGGGGCCCGGGCCCACCCTCACTCACAGGCCCCAGCCCAGGGCCCTAAGGACAGAGACTGTTTCCAGTCCTGTCCCACTGATGAGGCTCCTTGCCGAAACACGCCAGCCTGCGGGCTTCAGTCAGTTGCCCTGCCCTGGGCTGCTTCCTCTCCCCACTCTCTCAGCATCACTCTGCCCTCCAAGAGACTCTGGTGGCAGTGCTCCCACCAAGTTGAGGCTCTCCTTTTTCCTTCCCTTCTTCCCAATGACCGCCTTGCTACCTTCTTCCACCCTCCTCCCCTCCGTGCAGCTGCTCCCGCTTCTTTTGAACAGCCCATACCCCTGTTTCCCCTGACATCACTCTGCACCATCCCTTTGGGTCCCTCCCGTTTGCCCCTACATCACTTCCTGCTCCCCTCCCCCCGCCCTCCGTGGTTCACGTTCACCGTTACCTTAGGATCACGAGGCTGCCTTGCGGCGTGTGAAAAAAAGGATAAATTTTAGCTCAACACATCTCTACTGTGGAGGTCCCGTAGTCTAACACTGGCTGAAAGAAAGGCCAGTTCAAACACTGGAGTGAAATAACCAATATGCCTTGGCCATCTCATTAGGTTGACAGAAAGAGATACCTAAAATGTAAGTTGGGACATACTTTTTTTTCCCCCTGCATTTGCACAACACCTAGCACAATGGAATCCTGATCCATGAATCCAAGGCACTTCTACCATATGCATAACATCTGTCTCAGTTCACCTATTGCACCTTTCACCCTCTGTCACCAATTCAGCCACCAGTACTCGCAGTGAGTAGCTCTGCACTCAGTGAACAGTTTCATTAAGTGCTACTGCTGTGAGTGAGGATGGCAGAATCAGATGCTGAATGCATAACCACAGGTCTGTTATGTATTAGTACCTAAGGTTATGTCTGAACTATGGACTTTACAGCTGTACTGCAGCAGGGTCTCCTGAGTAGCCACTCTATGCTGGAAAGAGAGAGCTCTTCCTTCCAGTATAATTAAACCATTCCCAGCATGTATCGGTAGCTATGTGGGTGGGAGAGCATAGTATCATCCACACCTGTGCTTTCATTGGAGCAACGCAGGGATGTGTTCTTTCACAAAAATGATAATGTAATGCAGATAAAGCCTAATTGCTGACAGTCGGAGCCCAACTTGGAGAGTTCAGCACAGTGATTCTATTATCCTGGGTCTCTGTGAGATATGTACTGTGTGGGATAATTCAGTGTACCTGTTGACATGCTGGTCTTCTAACACAAACATAAACACTCTTCTGATAATGTCATTCCAAGTTAAGGCAAATTATTCATACATTCAAAATGGAATACAACCAAGAAGCCTGTGCAGTGTTTGGTAGCTGGGCTAACATCAGCTAAAACTCACAACTGAGGCTTAAAACTGGCTCAAGTAGTATTTAGAATGTTATAGCCTAAGCTTTATTCTCAATTCTGCATTTTTCAGAACATTCATGTTGTCAAAGAAAATCTGCAAGCACAAATGCAACACAACTTCCATTGACACCTCCTTGGAATGATTTTAAAGGCACTGGGCCAAAGTCTGAGCTCAAACTATAGGCTGGATCTCCCTGGTCCAGCACCCTGGGGACCTAAGTGATCCTGAACCAGGGACTTTGCCCACTCAAGGGAGGTCAAAGCTGCAGGCAGCCCCATTGCAGACTCTGCCCCTGTCCAGCAGGGCTCACAGCTGCAGGCCCCCCTGCCACTGGGGTTGCACCTTCCCACCTGGCTGGGGCTCCAGGCTATGGCTTCCCAGTCCTGTCTTTTCTCCCCTACCCCCAGCCGCTAGCCTGACTGGGGCTTCTACAGCCAGTCCAACCTGGGATTCCCAGTGTACTACCAGCCTTTCCTGTTGCCAGTCTGGCCTGGGGCTTCCCAGACACAGCTGGCCCCCTGTTGCTGGCTCTACCAGGAGCTTCCAGTCCACCGTCTGCCCCTAGCACTGACCCTGCTGCAGCCAACTCATCAGCCCCTCTACCACTGGACTCCCCGCAGGCCCCATTCCCAGCTGCTGGGGCTCTCTGGCCAGCAACATCTTGTCAGACCATGGATGTTGCCAGACCAGAAAATCCTGGACTTCGGAGGTGCAACCTGTACAACAAAATGAATCTGCAACAATTCTACTGAAGCCAATAGAGCTAACTATGGATTTACAACAGGCCAGGATTTGGCCTGTTGACATGTACTTTTGAGATGTGACTACTTTCAATACACTTCCTTTCCCCATGCAGATGCTGACCACAATAAAAGCCACAATGATAATGCTGTTTTTCTTATTAGCCCATTGTTGTAAACAGTCCTGAATGCCTGAATTTTTGCACAGACCCTGACTCTGTACATTATAGAACCTATCTGTGTTTTAAACTGACATTTTAATTAATAAATCTTTGCATAGAGGGCCTTATTTTCCACTGCTTCGGCATCCGTTCCTTTAATTCCTTTGTGAACTCAATGGCAGTATTGGGTGCATACGTAATGCAAGAGCCAACCCTGTTTCCATACTTAGTGAACATTAGCTATCATTCTACACATTGCTCATACTGCTGTGATATTTTTACCTTACAGGAGGGGATTTTTTTGTTTTGCTTTGCTCCCCATTTTCTCTGAGTTATACCATTTTATATCTCAATAACAAATATTTTTTCAATTTGTCCAAATAGATCTGACTTTTTAGCCTAAATTAACGTAGCATATTTTTCAAATTATAATTTGAAAGTCTAATTTTAAAACCATTTAAAATCTAATTTACGTGTCTCAGCTTTTGCCAGAAAAAAACATAGTAATAATATAATAAAGTCTAACTGGAAGAGATAGTAAGCAGAAAAAAAATTGACAAACACATTTTACATAGCAAACAACTGAACTTTCATTATAGTTAAAACTATTGGGTTTTAAATAAGCCAATTAAATTGTTTTCTTCATAAAAAATAATTAGTCACATTTTCAAAAACAAAAGATTCTTAACTACAATGTGAAAAAGCTTTTTACAGATCTGGCTTATAGAGCAAGTACACACAAAAGGAATTCTTGCCTTTAAACCACATACTTACGGCTGTTTTACTTTGTTCCCACAACCCCAATACTAACATGTCTCTGAAACAATGATGAGCTGATAGAACCTCCTAGGAACAGATATGCAAATGAGTAAACAAAGAATAAAACCTTCCTTCAGAATTCCTGCATCAGCGTTGTCATAATAAGTAATTTAAGCTGGTTGTCATCTAAGATCTTGATATTAAAATGGAAGATGTGGGTGTAGGTGTCTTGTCTTCACGCAATTTGCCTGATCTCCAGAGGACAAAGAAAACTATTAGATCTGGAAAGCAAAATCATGATTTTTGCTTTAAAAAAAATCAGCAAAACAATGTATATAAATTTTCTATGAAATATTTGTTTTTATTTTTTGTTGTTTATTTGCAAAAACCAAACAGCCACAAACTGAAATATTTTGATTAAGAAACATTTCTATATTGGTTCAGGGTAGAGGTAGCTTGGTTACCTCATTGTCCTATTTTTGTCTACAGGCCAAGACGCACCATCGTCTGCCCTAAAGAGAGAAGGTAAGTGCTTTGTGGGAACCCTTACTTATTGAGGATCATAGGAAATGTAGCCCAGCTGGAGAGCCTGGCCCATAGAGAAGAATGGAAGTAGCTATATCTTATGTTGTTGTATGAAAAATAATCACTTTGAAATCTTGGAGTCAATAATTAGGAACACTTTTGACAGCTGTGCATGTCATTAGAAACTGGGGCCTCAATCCTGCAAAAGAGAACCATGTGAGCAGACCTTCACGTTCACTGCAAGAGTTATTTAAATTACATATGATTACATCTCTTTCCTTTCTTTTATTGACACTAGTGGAGCCAATTGAATTAAGGAAAATTGTCCAGCTGTAAACTTAGGAAGCCTAACTCTATGGGTCTCAGAAAAATGCTGTTTCTGCTGGACACTTCATGGGAAATGGTACACTGCAGACACAGCTACTTTCTCAGGCCTGGGTCTACACTATGGGAAGATCAATGAGACACAACTCCAGGTACATAAATTACGTAGCTGGAGCTGATGTATCTTAAATCTCCATCCACACTCAGCAGGTCGACAGGCGCTAACGCTCCCATTGGCTTCCTTACTCATTGCAAGGAGTAGGAGTACTGGCACCAAAGGGGTGCCCTTTGAATTTAATTTAGTGGTTTTATACTACACCTGCTAAATTGAACCCCAGATGATCGACCACAGCAGCATCAATCTTCCATGTAATGTAGACATGCCCTCACTGTCAGGCCCCTGCACTTATCCTCCAACATCTCACATTGACTGGCACACTATTCACTTATTTCAGTCAACATAAGAACATAAGAACGGCCATACTGGGTCAGACCAATGGTCCATCCAGCCCAGTATCCTGTCTGCCGACAGTGGCCAATGCCAGATGCTCCAGAAGGAGAGAACACAACAGGTAATCCTCACGTGATCCCTCCCGTCACCCACATCCAGAGAAACAGAGGCTAGGGATACCATTTCTACCTATCCTGGCTAATAGCTATTGATGAACCTAACCTCCATGAATCTATCTAGCTCTTTTTTGAACCCTGTTAAAGTCCTAGTCTTCACCACCTCCTCTGACGAGGAGTTCCAGAGGTTGACTGTGCGCTGAGTGAAGAAAAACTTCCTTTAGTTTGTTTTAAATCTGCTGCTGTTTAATGTCATCTGGTGACCCTTAGTTCTTAAATTGTGGAAATAAGTAAATAACTTTTCCTTATTTACTTTTTCCATGCCAGTCATTATTTTTTAGGCCTCTATCATATCCCCCCTTAGTCTCCTCTTTTTTAAGCTGTAAAGTCCAAGACTTTTTAATCGCTCTTAATATGGGACCCATTCCAAACACCTAATCATTTTTGTTTCCCTTTTCTGAACCTTTTCCAATGCCAATATATCTTTTTTGAGATGAAGCGACCACATCTGTACGCAGTATTCAAGATATGGGTATACCATGGTTTTATATAGTGGCATTAAGATATTTTCTGTCTTATTCTCTATCCCTTTTTTAATGATTCCTAACATTCTATTTGATTTTTTGACTGCTACTGCACACTGAGTGTATATTTTCAGAGAAATATACACAGTGACTCCAAGAGTCTCCTCAGCACAATTGCTGCTGACAAATAAAATGTCACTCTTTTTCTTTCCTTGTGTTTGTTTTGTCACAACATTAAATGGTGGCGTTACACACGAGGAAAAGAGACAAATAGTTTTCTGGTTATTAAAATGGGAGATCTAGATGAAATTCCCTGCTCTGCCATATATTTCCTGAGTAATCTAGGGGTTAGATTTCTGTGTCTTGGTTCCTTATTTGTAAATTGAGGATAACAATACTTTCTTTCTCCCACCCTTTTTCAATTGTCAGCAGGTTAGAGCCAGAACTCTCTTGCTATGTGAATGTACAGCACCTAGCATGATACCACCTCAGTTTTGGTTGGGGCCTCTAGACCAGTGGTTCTCAACTAGGATCTGGAACCCCCAGAGGGTCCATGAGCAGGTTTCAGGAGGTCCTCCAAGCAAAGTCAGCATTAGACTTCCTAGGACCCAGGGCAGAAGGCTGAAGCCTCTCCTGCATGGGACAAGCTCAGGGCTCCAAGCTTTCTCACCCACAAATGAAGCCGAAGCCTGAGAAACTTAGCTTCGCTGGGCCCCCAGGCAATTGTCCTGCTTGTTACTCCCTAATGCTGGCCCAGGCTTTTGCATGAAAAAAAAATCCTAGTTGTTGTGGCTTAGGTGGGCTGTGGAGTTTTTCTTGCATGGGAGAGAGGTTCAGAAAGAAAAAGGTTGGGACCCCCTGCTCTAGATGCTACAGTAATGGAAATAATAAAAAAGTATACAAGTATAAGTTAAATCTCCTCAGGGTAAAGATAAATTGATATTTGGATAGGGGTTTATTTGTTCATTACTAAGTAGGGCCTAATTCTGACACATCCTATGAAAATTCTTGTATTCCGTTCCTTTTTATACTTGGTAAGGCATAAACAAAGGGTTAAGGAGAAATACGGCATTGTAATTGACAAGATACTTTATACGGTTTGCTTCTTTAATTCCCCCTTCCCCCATGTTCTGCCAAAACCAACTCAGAATCATCCTGTTCAATGTTTCAAGTGCCTTTGCCTGTGGCATGGCAATTTTTTTCACCTACGCATGTGTCTTTTTTTCCTAGCATTTGTATGGCTATTGTGAATGCTGGTATCCTTCACTAAACTGCTAGATCTTCACGACGAACAAGCATAGATTTCCATTCCTCAGCTGAGATTGATCTATTATGTGAGTAGTTACTTTGAGTTACAGGCAGTCCCCGGGTTACATGGATCCGACTTACATCGGATTCCTACTTACAAACGGGGTGAAGCAACCCTGCACTAGCTGCTTCCCCCCAGCAGACCAGGGAGATGCGGAGCGGCTTTTCTCAGCAGACACCTCAGCTTGAGAATAAAGGACTGAGGGAAGTGAGGTGTGGGAGAATAAAACTGACCTCTGGAGAAATGTTTGGCTAGAGTTTCCCCTACAATATGTACCAGTTCCGACTTACATACAAATTCAACTTAAGAACAAACCTACAGTCCCTATCTTGTACGTAACCCGGGGACTGCCTGTACTACAGTTCAGGAAACCCCAAGATATACGTGCTTTCTTAATGTCTCCTTCCCATCATGTTATAATTTCTTTTCTTTTCACTTGGAATCTCTTACCATTTCTAAAAATATCAAAATAGTCTGTCTTGTTATATACCAACAACGCACTATAAATACATACTTTACATGTTGGAGTATTTGCTCTATGTAATCTTTAAGTAATAGTAAAAGTAGGATTTTTTAAAAAAATATTAAACTCTCCAGACACAATTACAAAGTCCCAGAATTTTGTTTTCCAGCAACAGATAATGCTGAAATCACGTTGTGGCATGACTAATTAAGCATTGATTTATTTTAAAGAGACTGTCATATTTTGCCCCAAAAGGAACAGACACAAAAAGAAAAAAAAATCACATTTTTAAGAAACAACCACTCCTCTGTATGTTATTAAACTAATTTATTTAGAAACCTGCTTTTCAGTATGCATTTTTTTTCAAGCAGTGGCTTTTAACTTCAGTTCATGATCAAATTCTCAGTAAAGTCCTTACATAATTTGCTTGATGGCCTGAAAACTTCAAACAAAGCTACTTAAGGAAGTGGCTTCAAAGCAAGTGACTTATAAGAAAGCATGTCTGTGGGTTTGCCTACACTTAAAATGCTGCAGCTCCACTGCTGTAACACTTCAGGAAGATACTACTATGGTGAAAGGAGAGCTTCTCCCATCAGCATAATTAATCCACCTCCACAAGAGGCAATAGCTATCTTGATGGGAAAATTCCTCCTGCAGTCCTGAGGATGGGAGTGGGAGGGAAAGGAAGAGGGCAGCTACCATGGAGCTCAACGATTCAAGAGGGCCAGGGGCTCCTGGCCACCACTGCCTCTACATCAGGAGCAGAGGCAGCCAGAGTCCCAGGCTCTTTAGATAGGCACTGAAGTGCCACACACCATGCTCAAGATGGCTCAGATGGATGGCGGGGGTGGAATGGCGCACTTTGGGTGGCTCTGAAGGCTGGCTACTCAGCCCTGCCACTTCTGGAAGTGCCAAGCCAGCTCTCCCCTCCCTCCCCACCTTGTCCAGGAGCCCAGCAAGTCTGTCGACCCCCTTGGCCTCCTATTAACATAGTGCGGTCTACACCAGGGTTTATTCACTCCAGGCAGTGTAGTTATACCAATGTACTATAGACTGATCTTTCTCCCTGGGAGGTGGTAGCTACATGAAAGAATTCTCCCATCAGGCTAGCACTGTCTATACTGGGGGATAGGTTTGTTTAACTGCAGTGCTCAGGGGTGTGGTTTTTTCACACCCCTTCATAGCATAGGAAATTAAGTTGGTATCACTAGTGTAGACCAGGCCTGAGTTTCAAAATAGTGCAAATAGCTTCCATTGACATATGTGAATTCAATGCATTAAAAAAGTGAAAAAGCAAAAAATTAATTATTGACATTATTTAAGGTTTTAAAAAATCCCCCAAAGTCTTATGCTTATTCTTATGTTAAATGCCCTGTGATAATATCTGGCTCATCATGTCTGAGGTTTGGTTCAGTGCAATGACTAGACAGAGTAGATAAGCAGTTGACAGTTTTGCCCGTGCATGCGTGTGCGCCCACACACACCCAATTCATTCTTCAAATATAAAAAATGCTCAGTCATGGATCAGATGTTCACTGCTTTGAAGCCAGGGAAATGCTTGCTTTTCAGCTCCTTGGGCTGAGTTTGCAGTGCTGGCGATTAGGACTGGGCAGAAAACAATAGTTTCATTTCACAAAAAAAGGCTAGGCTTTGAACTTTGATTTTGTTCCAATGCAGAATGAAAATGAGACCTCTTGAACATTTGGCAGGGGGCAGGAGAATACGAGAGTGAGACAGAGAAGGAAAGACAGAGACCCACCCCAGAATAGGCAAGAGCTGATGGGATGAGGAAGACCCAGGTTCACATGACTGCTCCAGTTTAGGGGATGGCTTCCTCTCCCATCCCCTTTCAAGAGCTAAGAAACTTCCCTATGAAGTATATTGTCAAAATCAAACTGTTTCTGGGAACCATTTGTTTTTATCAAAGTGGTATTTTTTGATGGAAAAAAGTTAAATTGAAACGTTTTCCACCATCTGTGCTGGCATCTTGAAAAATGACTTTTGGCCTTGGAACAAATTTGATAGGAAAATGTGATAGCTTCCATTAACGTGCTCAAAACTGTCGAAAGCAAGGCACCTTATTGACATGCCTAAATATGGATGTAGATGCCCCTTTCTGAACATCTTAGCCACAGGGTCAAATGCTGTCCAACCCCTTCCCTACTGTATTTGATGCCCAGCAGCAAATACAAGGTGGGTCTATTACACCAGAAGGCAACAGGATTTGGAAAGCAATCCATTGGAGTGATGCATCCTTTGCACCTAGCAAAGCTCCCTGCAGGGAGAGCTGAGCAGCAAAATAAGGGAAGAGAGCTGAAGGTGGGGCAAAGAAAGAGAAGGAGCTAGAAGCTTCAACAATGCACACACCCTCTCCCCCTTTTTCTGCCAACTCCTGAAACAGCACTCTGCTTATTGGGCCCATTTCTAGAACTTTAATTCAAAGGATTCAAAGTGCTTATAATGTTAATTAGTTCAGCCTCAAAATGCCCCTGGGTGGCAAACAAGTATCATTATCCCTCTGTCCTAATTTCCAGTCCTTCACTCTCTCCCTTTACTGTATATCAAGAAACAAAATGATACGGATGCTGTGCAAAGGACCAGTGCATGAGGAGGTATCCAACTGCTCCTATTGCTATATCAAACTGTTTAGCAATATATAATTATAATTAGTCCTCCTAGTACTGAATTCAATGGCAAAACTCCTATTTGTTTCTATATGGAGAAGCCATTCCACAGATATCAATAAAGGAGACTACCAAAGTATAGCTGTTTAACAGTATAAACACCTCCACCAAGTGGGGAGGTATTGAATCTTTAGCTTAATACTAAGTTATTGTCTTGCTTTCATCTTATGTTGTATATCATGATCAGGAAGGGATTAATAGAAGTTTCAGACCTGCCTATGTGTGCTGGAGTTATTTGCAGCATTCCAGTAAATCTTTTGACTTCCATAAGCGAGTGTGACAATACTAATGAACTTCTGAGGGTCCCATCCCAGGGTGTGACTACACAGCTACTTTATTTCAGAATAACGGTTGTTATTCCAAAATAACTATGCGAGCATCTACACAGCAATTCTGTTATTTCAAAATAACCAACGGCTTATTCCTACTTCTGTAGACCTCATTCTACAAAGAGCTATTCAGAAATAGCTATTTTGAAATAGGGCGTGTGTAGACATTCCACTTCTGCTGTTTCGAAATAGCTCCTCACCGGGGCCATTCTAAGTTATTCTTCCTGGGGCTCTAAATCGAGATAGCATGTCTACATTAGGGAAGCCTGCCTTAGACTAATTTTGAGGCTTCTCTGCAGTGTAGACATTCTATTTCAAAATAAGCTATTTCAGAATAGCTATTCTAGAATAGCTTATTCCAAAATAACTGTGCAGTGTAGACATAGCCCCAGATGTTAATATCATTACAAGCAAATTAGAAAATGAGGCATATCTTGAAATAATAGATGTAACAGAAGATAAAAGAACCATGGGAATAAGCCAGACAAAAGACCTTGTCTTAGATAAATCTTGATACCTGCTGTGTTTTAACATGATACGAATGAGAAAATATTCTTGCCTTATTGATGCATTCATTCAACAGAGAAATTTCTGTAGAAAAAATAGTATTGCCAACCACAAGAGATCAAAAATCATTAGATGGATCCAAAAAAACATGAGATAGACCAAAAATCATGAGATTTTTTTTAAACATCATCAAACCAGGTTTGTTAGTTTGTTGGTATTAACTACTTTTGTCTATTTACTTGTAATGCCCCTCTACTCTTCTTGCTATGTGTAATTATTTCAGATTGAAAAGCCAACATGTAGTGCACACAAATATTTCCTTGGCTGTAACCTCTCCTTATTAGGGATGTAAGTGAGTAGTCAAGTAGTCGACTACCTGATAAGCCCAGGCTTATCGGAGGCAGCAAGGGAAGGGGAAGCAGGATCCAGTGTTGGGGAGAGCTAGCTTAAAAGCTGGTTCTCCCCAGCATCATTTCTGTGGTGCTGCCTGTCCCCTCCCCCCCACCGCTCCCCTCCCTCCCGCCGCTGCACTGCTGCCTTTATCAGAGGCAGCAATGCAGGGGTGGGGTGCAGTAGAGGCTGCCACAAAGCAGCCCCTGTCCATGGTGGCTTAGGTCGGAGCTGGGACCTCCCCATGGACAGGGGCTGCTACCACATAGCTTACTGCCCTGCTTCATTTAAACAGCAGAGCTGCAGTGGGGGTAGCTCCTGAGGAGCTCAGGTAGATCTGAGGAGCCTTCCCTTATTGACTAATTGTGTAGTCAATAAAATTTGTTTCGACTATACGATTAGTAGATTACTCACCTCTTAACATCCTTACTCCTTATCCCTATGATAGTGGACCTACCATCCATTTCCTCTGATTAAGCGAGTAATCATTATCTGTGATTATCTTGATCCCCCTCACACTTACACACATACATACAGGCACACCCCTCCTTTGGCTGCTGCCGCTTAGGGTTGTCCCCATCTTTGGACCCACCAGTATCACTTCACTCATTCCCCATCTCTCCTGATGGATTTTCCCCTCACCTCTGGGCTTCTCTATTCAGATTCTGAGAAGT